AGTCTTAGAAATTGCATGGTTTAGTATATTAGGTCTCTTGCTATTTTGTTTGAAATGATTTAGCAAAATGCATGAGGGAAGTCACAATCCCTTAAAGACCCTGAGAAGCTCCTGAGATTACAGTGTTATCCATAGCTATCCACTCATTCATTCATTCATTCATTTATTCATTCATTCATTCAGCAAACATTTATTGGATGTCTGGTGTACCCTAGGCATGATTCTAGGCATTGGAAATCTAGTAGGAATGTAGCATTGATGTGTTGCTCTTTTACAGAGCTTATAGTCAAGTGGGCGAGACAGACAGTGACCCAGCACACACAGACACGCGTGCACACACTCAGACAGTGAAGACAGTAGTTTGCTGAGATTCTGCTACCAATGCAGGCAGGGCGGGGTTTCCACACCACCAAGCAGTTCTCCAATACAAGTGGGATGTCCTCTGGTTCAGCTGATTTCTGATACCTTCTTCCTGGAGATAGCATCAGATCCCACAGGTGTTGCCTGCATTCTTTTGGATTTGACAGATGTTCCCTGAGGACTGTACTTCAATGGATGTTTGTAAGGAAACAAAGGTGAAGTAAAACCCATTTACCCCTTCGTTTTAGAACAGTATGAATTATGGCGGCTCAGAAAAAATGTGTTCACCCGCGAAGTAGCTGTGATTGGCTCACTCCTATAAGACTGCCTTCCTTCCAAGCCACCGAAAGCCCAAATTGTCACCTGTACTTCTGACCATTGGCTATCAATTGGAGGTTTCCATGACCCCCTCTTCAGATTCAGTTAACTTGCTCCTAGAACTCAGGAAACATTTTACTTCTTAGAGCGCCAGTTTATTAGACGAGAATACAACTCAGAAGAGCTGATAGGGTCAAGTGCAGGGAAGGGACTGGGACCTTCCATGACCCTGGAACCTTCCGAGCACGCCCCTCTTCCCCAAATACCCGCGTGTTCACCAACCAGGAAGGTCTCTGGACCCCATCCTTTGGGTTTTTATGGGTCGTTATAGAAACATAATTAATGAAATCCTTGGCCAGTGGCAGCTGATTGAACCCGCAGCCCCTCTCCCCTCCCTGGAGGCTGGGCGTAGGACTGAGAGTTCCATCTCTCTAATCACAGTTAGCCTCCTGGCCACCAGCCCCCATCTGCAGCTTCAAAGTGACCTTGTTAACATAACAAAAGACACCTTATATCTCATCATTTAGGAAATCCCCTTCCACCCCCCCATTCCCCGTTTTAGAAGCTCTGTGCAAGAAATGAGGATAGAGACCAAATATGAATTTACTATAAATCACATATCACATTTGGGTAACAGGAGAGAGTGTCTCGCTTATAGCATTGGGACAGCATTGCATCGGGCGGTCAAGACAGGGCTCCCTGAGGAGGTCCCCTTTTAAACTGAGACCCAAAGGAAGAGAAGCCAGTCCAGCAAAGGTCTGTGCAGGGAGCATCCCAGGAGCTCAACAAATGTAGAGGCCCTGAGTGCAGAAAAAGCTTGTCGTGATCAGAGAATAGAGGAAGTTGTGAGCATGGCCGAGGGAGACGGTGGGGATGCGGTAGTGCCCAGATGTGGGTGGACACCCTGACCCTGTGGGCCCGCAGGTGATACGATCCTTCTCCGGGGTGCTGTGTGCAGTTGCTGTAGGATGTTGTGCAGAGGGACGGCATGTTTTCTGTTTCTCAGAGACCTGGCTGCCCTGTGGAGAAGGCAGTGTCGGGTCACAGGGAAAACCGACAACATCAAGCCATCCCAGTGGGTCAGGGGAGAGAGTGGTGCTTTGGAGGACAGGTAGCAGTGGGTGTGGAGCGGAGGGGCCCGTCCAGCCAGCACGTGGGCATGGCCTAGACAGGGATTGCCACCGGACTTGGGGACCAGGGGGGAGTGGAAAATAATTTATCTTGGTGCAGTATAAAAACTGAAGTGACGCGATAGTCACGGAGGGCATCCACATTCCGTTCCCATCTATACCCTGAGTGAGAAGTTACGGCGCATATATTTAATATTGTAGCAAAACAGAGCTTTTTCGAACCCAAATGCAATTCAGACACACTTGAAGTGTGCTGGCCCTTGTAGCTGGCAGTGAAGAATGAAAAGAAATTAACTTAGAAGATAGCAGTTCAACTAAACAAATGGTTTCAGCTAAAAGCAAAAGGACAAGAGTGGCCTGAACTCAAGTGGTCAGTTCACTAACAGCCCCACCTTTTCTACGGAGACTGCATGTTCCCTGTAACCTCTATAAAACCAGAAGGAAGACCTGCGTTAAGAAAAATCGTATTTAGTATTTTTGTGTCCTTGGCCTTCTGAGAAGTCCTTAATCCTCATAGGCAAAGTTCAGAAGGTGTTCAACTCCCAAATGGGTCACAGGTCTAAAGGTCACAGGATCTGCACTGATCTCCCCCATGGCCCGCTGACTCTAGCTGCCTTTTCATCTCATGTATAAAGTCACATAGACCCCAGGTGACTTTAGGGTCTACACCGGCTACCCTGGCAACTAACTGGGTGGCTGGGGCTGAGCTACAGGGCCCACTGTGGGGAGGGGAGATTTGAACGAAGATAGCTCCAGACCCCCACCTCCCCTGCACCTCACTGCTGCTGCTGGTTCGTCTATTACACCTGAGCCTTTAGAATAAAATCTAGTCTGAACTGAGGGTACAATAGGTTTTAAGAAGATACACGCTGGGTGCGCCTGGATGGCTCAGTCAGTTAAGCGTCAGACTCTTGATTTCGGCTCAGGTCATGATCTCAAGGTTTATGAGTTCAAGCCCTGCGTCAGGCTCTGTACTGACAGTGCAGAGCCTGCTTGGGATTCTCTCTCGCTCTCTCTCTTTCTCTCCCCGCCTCTGTCTGCCCCTCCCCCCTCTCAAAATAAAGAAACTTAAGAAAAAAAGAAGATATACACTGTTCTAGGCAGTAGCATCCTTGCCCACTGAGATGGTTCCAGCCCACAGAGTTCTTTCATTTTTGAGTCATGAGTATGAATTGAGCTTTACCAGCCAGTGAGTGAAGATTGTATCCCCAGTGACAGCCAAACTTTCGCGTTCTCACTTCCACCCACTGCTACCCCACCGGATGCTTGCAAGAGGCCTCTCTTTATGATACTTCTCTGTGTTCCATTGGCCCCAGACATGCCTGGGTTCTGGTCACTTCCTGCCTTCTGCAGTTCTCTCCTTCTGGATCTGGGCACCACCACCCCCCACCCCCACCCCTCCTCCGCTCTGACTACTCTTCTCCCCGTCTTGCAGAGCACGGAGCCACAGCAGAATTGACGGGAGCCCTGGACTGAGCTGCGCTTGGTGGGCGGTGTTGGGGCTCCAGCCTTTGACCCTGGGTCCCTGCTGCTTCACCCCTGCACCTGTTAGCTGTAACCCTCTTCTGGGGCTTTCAGTCCTCGCCCTATTGCCTGGTTTCATCCATCAAACCTTTTGGCATCTAGTCCACCCAAGCACGTTCAGGTTCTTTCTCAAAGGGCCTCCGGGCTCCCAGCAAACCAGGGGGTGTGGCCGGTCACAGCGTTAAGTGCCCGACAGTGAGGAGGCTGGTCCACCCTGACCCCTGACACCATCCCAGGAGGCCACTGCCCAGTGCCACAGGCTGCCCAGTACCCAGGCCCTGGCCAGCCATGTGGTAGTTTATTACACAAGCGAATCAGGCTTAGGAAACAAAAAAGGAGACGTTATGTAGCTACACGTGGGACATCAGCTCAGAAGCTCACAGTTAGTTCCTCTGCTCCGCTGGTAACTTTACCCTCCTCCTGTGGGGCTCTTTTGTGAGGGAGACCCAGCCGAGCCCCGATGTGTGAAACAGGTGGCCCCCAGGTGTCAGGATCAGGCTTTCCTGCCCCTCCAGCCTCTCACTCTGCCGGGGCCCCAGCCCCACCCCCAAGATCATTCCAGGGAGTTCTAGGAACCCATAGAACATAACTGGAAAAACAGCACCCTGTGACATAAAGGTCACAGAAATGAAGACGTTCAGCAGACCTCACGTTGCAGCCTCTCACTGCTGGGTCTTCAGCCTCTCCTGCTGCCACGGAGTCTCTTAGTTGCGAACATGTGCGGGAGGCCAGGTCCCTTGCGGATGGTGATCTCTCTCCTGCTCCCGCCAGTCCATCTGGTTTCTGAAATTCACATTTGACTCTGTCATTCCTGAAATTCCTTCTGTGGCTGACCGTCCCTCACAGGATGAAGGCCTTGGGCACTCAGCTGTCTCCTCATGGTGGCCCTGAGTCTTCCTTACTGTGTCCCAGAACGCAGCTGCCTGCAGGCGCCGTCCCCCCACACCTCCCAGCCGCCGGGCACACTCCCGCTTCAGCACTGGATTCAGGCTGCCCGTCCTTGGGGAAACCTCTCCCTTCCAGCTTCTAAGCTCCCCCACCCCCGGTGCTGCTATACCACCACCCTGTCCCCTCTGTCCCAGAGTCTGTCATTCAGCCTTCTCTGGTGAACTGAGAACTTTGGTCTACGTGCCTGTCTCCTCCACTTAAGTAAAAGCTCCTTGAGAACAGAGATGATCTGGGGAGGGGAGCTCACTCCCTCTCCCACGTAAATCCCAAGCCCCCAGCAGATGGCTGACCCGGAAAGAGCCACTCAACATCTGAATGAATGAATCCTCACGTTTGCACAAGTGCATTTGTTGAGGTGGAAGTGGCAGTTCCTGAGTAGACTGGCTCCAAGTTAATAAAAGCAGAGATCATTTTTCAGTCCCGTGTCATACGCCCTTCAGCTGGAAGTCTGGAAAGGAGAACTCAGGGTTTAGAGGCAGATTCTATTTGTCGAGGCCGTTGGAATTTCCACTGCTCTTGGGGGCACCCTTCCACATGAGGGGCATCGGCTGTGTGGCTGTAACAGGCTTCAGTGTTCAGAGCTGATCGTATTCATGATACAGGGAACAGGGAAGGGTCGTAGTGTGTGTGTGTGTGCATGTGTGTGCGCGCGCATGTACGCATGTGAGAAAAGGCTGGGTCTTCTAATGAACCGCTTCCTTGAAAATTGTCTTCCTGCAGGTGATGTGTCACCCATCAGCATGTCTCCCATCAGTCAATCTCAGTTCATTCCACTCGGGGAAATCCTGTGCTTGGCCATCTCGGCAATGAACTCCGCGAGAAAACCCGTCACCCAGGAAGCACTGACAGAGCACCTGACCACATGTTTCCCAGGTAACAGGAAGAGGCTGTATCACTTTCCAAACAGACATGTGTGCCGGTCGCTGTGGGACCTGACATGGACCATTCCTCTCATTGAAATGTAATAGAAAAAAAAAATCCTTTGCCAAAACTGACCAGAAACGTTTGTTAGGGCTGTAATTAAAAATCAAGGCACCTCTCTTACTTCTGAGATAATGTGCCATCTTCAGGTAATAGTGTGATACATTTTGTAAGTGGCACCGAGAAGACAAAATGCAGTTAGGATCCATGAAGAATGCTGGCAAAAACCACCCCTAGTCAACTTCAATATAACCTTCTTAATTTTTTTATGTGTATGTATTTGTGAGAGAGAGACAGAGCATGAATGGTTTGGGTGGGGGGGGGGGTGCAGAGAGAGGGAGACACAGAATCAGAAGCAGGCTCCAGGCTTTGAGCTGTCCGCCTAGAGCCTGACACGGGACTCGAACCCATGGACCACAAGCTCATGACCTGAGCCGAAGTCAGACGCTTAACCAACTGAGCCACCCAGACTCCCCTGACCTTCTTTAAATACATGATGCATGGGAGCGTGTCAGAAAAGTTTAGTCCCAAGGGATTACACTAAAGAGACAGTAAGGTCAAAAATAAGCGTATCTTGCATGCTTGTCTCATGGCCTGATGAGTTTTAATAATATGACATTTGATAAATTAGTTAAGATCTCATTTTAAAAGAAAAAAAATGTTTCCTTTCTCTTAAATATTATAATAAGGGGACAGTAGGCCAGCTGCCATACGAACGGCATTCAGTGCCTCCAGCCCAAGAAGATGTGAGGAATGGTGATGAGCTGAGGACTGTATGCCCTACCTCAAGCGAGATAGCCCACTGCTCAGCTCCAGTGTATTGCCCCCTGCACCCCAAAATGTCGAACCCTTCCAGAGCTTCAAATCTTCCACTGCTTTTTCAAGACAATCTGGAAATTCAGCTTTATGTGACATCTGTAGATTTCCTTAACTATCAGCAGTTATGTGTGTGTTGTGTGTGTGTGTACATTTTAACACATATGTGCCAGCCACTTGCAAGTCGAATAAGACACATTATTGGGCCACCAGTTTGCCACCTTGGACTCAAGATATACCTAGATGGAAATAGAAGTCTTGAAATGAGCCCTTGACATGGTTTTCATTCGACCTAGAAGAGAACTTGGTAAAAGAGAAGCTACGGGCCGAATCAGTTCACTTTTGCTACCAAAATGCTGGGTAATAATCAGCACATCAGTGGCACACAGCAGTGAGCGTTTATTCAAGTCACTGTGGGTTCTCCGGGAATCAGCTGATCCAGACCGGCCCCGCTCAGGTGGCCCTGTCCCACCTGTGCCCCATCTTCTTTGGAAAAGGGGACAAGCAGAGGCCCGTTCTGCTCAGAGGAACGCGAGAGGCCACACGAGAACAAGTCTGGTTGTACGGAGGCTCTTCAGCCTTGTGGTCACACCATGCCCGCTGACGTTCCATTGGCTAACACGGACCTGGACAAACTCCCAGTCCAGGTGTAAGAACATGCACGCCAGCCATGGCAGAGGGCGAGAGGACTGCTTCTTAGGTTTGTTTATTTTGAGGGAATGCACCCACGTGTGATTGGGGAAGGGCAGAGAAAGGGAGGGGGAGAGAACCCTGAGCTATCGGCACAGAACCCGGAGCAGGGGTTGATCTCACAAACCGTGAGGTCATGACCTGAGCTGAGATCAAGAGCCGGGTGCTTAACTGACTGAGCCTCCAGGCGCCCCAAGAAAGGACTTCTTCTAAAGTAAATAGTCGTTTGTCGTATGGAGTCTCCCCACTTTTCCTTTTGCCCCAAAGGAGCTTTACATTTCTCCACCAGTGATTTTTTCCTCCTCCTTCAGTTTTCTAATTAACATGTTTTGAAATTATGTGTACTGTTTAAAAACTCTAACATGAACCGACCTTTTGCAGCCTATAAATTACCTTAAATTTTCTAACATTATCTCTGAATATTCTTCACTGCCCGATTGTCTTTCGTCGTTAACTTCCAGGCAAACCCTTGTCCTTTCAGTAGTTATTTAAGCAGAATCCCAGGTGAGAGCGATCTAAGGCGACAGATGCCGTTCATGGACGTAATGCCCTTGTGAAGGGAGACCCTTCCTGGTGGCCTTATACCTGGTTGGCCTCTTCTGACATCAAACGCCCCAGCAGCTTTTAAAATCTATTTTTATGTAGCTTCATGAGAGATCACATAGCTTTTCCAAAATTGGTTAGACCTCTCCCTTTACTGGGCCATGAAATAGAGAATGGAAAGAACCCAGAGCCAAGTAGGTAAGAATATATTGTGAAAAATAGCAAAAGAAAATAGTAAATTGCCTAGCAGTTGATTACAATACCACTAAGTTGGAATACTTTTGTAGAGAAACTCATAGGTCACCTGTACTTAAATGAGCAACTGCTTTGCGAGCTTCTATGGTCCATGAACTTAGATCCCAGTGCCTTGTTGTCAGACGGACCCAGAGGAGCTGACCCCACCTTTGTCATCTTTGTGACACTGATGACAACCCCAGATTGCGGGGACGCTGTACAAATGTGAGTCTAGGGCAGGGGGTGGCAAACCATGGGTGCAGGTTCGTGTGGCCTACCACTTGTGCTTATAAAGTTTTATTTGGAAGTCTGTTGGAACACAGCCTTTCCTGTTTGTTCATGTATTGTCTTTAGCTGCTTATGTGGCAGTTACAGAAGTGAGTAGTTGCAGCTAGAAGGTCAGATGCCTCACGAAGTAAAATAATTACATTTGGCTCTTGCCAGCTACTGGTTTAGGGCATGGTAGTAATGATTTAAAGCTTTGTTCAGCAATAGCTCCACATTTTATTTCATTTTATTTTTTAATGTTTATTTATTTTTGAGAGAGAGACAGAGTTGAGTGGAGGAGAGGCAGAGAGGGAGGGAGACACAGGATCCGAAGCAGGCTCCGGGCTCTGGTGCCCCAATAGCTCCATATTTTAAACTAGTATTTCATAAAATGAGGTTTTGTTTCCTGGCTGTCTTCCTTCATCCTTCCTGTCTCTCTTCCTCCATCCTTTTCTTTTCTCTCTTTGATTTTCTTCCTTCTTTGCGCTATCATTTAAAGCACTTCAGGACAGGGGCGCCTGGGTGGCTCAGTTGGTTAAGCGGCCGACTTAGGCTCAGGTCATGATCTTGCAGTTTGTGGGTTCGAGCCCCACGTCGGGCTCTGTGCTGACAGCCAGCTCAGAGCCTGGAGCCTGCTTCAGATTCTGTGTCTCCCTCTCTCTCTGACCCTCCCCTGCTCACTCTCTCTCTCTGAGAAATAAATAAAACATTTTAAAAAATTTATAAAGTACTTCAGAACAAAACAATTTAGAAACTTAATACTATTCAAATTCTATTTGAAAATGTATTTTCAAACACAGTGCTAAAACTCTGAAGGGATTTAAGTATCATATTTATGGCAGTTTTATCTTCTTAAGGTAAGACTTACTCCTTGAAAATAAAGTTTTGGAAGCTAATTGAGTATCATTAAAACATTTGAGCTCTTGTATTTAATGCATATGTTATAGGTATAAAGAATAGTCTAGATTTGGACCTCTGTTACTGTTTTGGACAACCATATCCTTTTTTTTAATGTTTATTTTTGAGAGAGAGAATGAGCAGGGGAAGGGCAGAGAGAGAGGGAGACACAGAATCTGAAGCAGGCTCCAGGCTCTGAGCTATCAGCACAGAGCCTGACGCTAGGCTCACTGAGCCCCACGAACCACAAGATCATAACCTGAGCTGAGATTGGACACAACCAAACTGAAGCACCCAGGCACCCCCGGACACCCATATTCTAAAGAAAGCTTTTAGCAAAAAGTCTCCTAGTCAAAATCCCTGACCTACTGAAATGTAAACTCTTTTATCACCTTTCTATATTGGTTGAGTTTTGAAATTTCCTTTACAGAAACAAGAATTTTTTTTAAGTAGAAAAAAGAATAAGTACTTGCTTCTCAGCTATGTAAGTACTCCTCATCCATCCATCCAGAAGGATCACTTAAATCGGATGAGTACTTGTTGGGTTGTTATGATTGGATCTTCCTGGGAGGAATGCTGACCCTCAGAGAAAGAGACCTATAGGCTGCTGATGCGGTTGAGGTTTTGAATTTGCTAGAGAATATTAACATGAATATACATGATGAGGGGATACGTATACATATTCATCATATTCTGTCTCCCATCTCATCCCCTTACATCGGTTCTTGGAAATTCTCCCTCAGCCAGTATTCTTCACCAATGAGAAGAAATAATCCAGAGAAGCCCGTTGCAAGTTTTCGTGTAAAATGTTTAACATATAGAAGGTATATGTAAGCACTCTGTTCCTACAATTTTCGGATTTGCAGGATTAAAGAGATATGTAAGTCTAAGCAACATCGCATTGTCATGCAGTGTTTTTAGGTCTCTGGTTTTGCTTTGGAAGATGTAAAGGTGTGGAAAAGGAGAGAAGTCGGGTGTCAGCCTTATTTGGATACAGAGGTTATCTTTTTGTTCTTTAAGCCCTCAAAATCCAAATTCATGATGAACTTTGGGAAGAGAATCTGGAAGTGGTTGAATGTGCAAACTTTGAAAGTACGCATCACAGCCATCTCTGTCCCAGGGGAGCCCTGCAGACCTCTCATGGAAGTCTGGATTTCACAGACAACTGAAAATACAATACATTATACTGAGGCTTCATCATAATATAAGCATCATAAATATCAGTGACTTTCAGTTAAAGCTTTGAAAACTCACAGGTAAGAAGTGTGGAAGGGAAATTGGACAAGAGGTGTTTCTAACCTGTTTTTTCAAATTAGACAGTATTTGACCAATATACATGAGAATCCAAGACATGAAGACTTTAGATGTAAATTCTCTTTGGAAACTCGTTCTTATTTTCCATTTATCAGGAGCACTTATTTTTAATAGTAAGTAAACATGACAACATTGTGGTCATGATTCTGTATAGTTTTGTAGGTTTTCTGTGATCAGCACTTGTAAGGTCTACAGTCAGCACATTCTGTAATACCATTACAGTTCCGGTTCATAGTAACAGCTGTTCTCAGCTCTCCTTTATTATGACAGCACAGTAAACTGGCCAGTCATGAACTCTTATAAATGAGGCGTGCCATGTTCTGGAAAAACTCATCTCTGTTACAGTGTTGATTGCAAGCAAGCTACCATGTAGGATACAGTTAGTTTTCAGTATGGGTTTGATACCCGGGATTGCTATGCCACACAGCCCAAGTGGCATCATTCATGAGCCTCTGGTGTGAATCCAGTCTCATCTGGAGCGTTTTAGTCTGTGTCAGTTTGAATGGTACCCCAGACTTGTTCAGTAGGAGCCCTCGTTGTTAGTGGGGCATAGGAGCTCTTTGAAGTTGCTTCTCTTATATGCAAGTATTTTTTTTATTTTATGACGGCACTCAAGAATTTCATATGTATGGTTTGGGTTATATCACTAATTCATATGGAGTTCATTTTGTGCAGAAACGATCATAAAATTTTAAAAAATTGTTATTATATCAGCCTTGAAGCCATTTGCGTAAAAACCAGAGTACATCTCTGAAGAGCAGAGCTCTAGACTAAAGGGAAACTATGCAGCTAAAAAATTAAATAATTATACTAAACAATGCATTATTCATAAGCAATACTGCCTTTCCCACCTTGCCACTACGGATGCCTTCTGAAGATGGTAACACAGACAGACATGTATGTTACGTCACATTCGTAGACTGTCTCCTGGGCCATTACTAGTGCTGTCATATCCCACCTTTGTGGTTTTGGAAGGATTGGGGGAGCCTAAACTTAGTTTACCCTGCTATTCTAGGTTGCTACACATGTTCTTTGAAGGTAATCTGGGTTTCCATGAGTCCTGCCCCAAAGTTGAGACTATATAGTTCAAGTTCATGGAGCCCCCGTATAAGTCCGGCACCGCTTTACGTACCTTAAGCTCATTAAAAAAAAATTAAGTTTATTCATTTATTTATTTTGAAGGAGATAGTGGGCAGGAGAGGGGCAGAGAGAGAGAGAGAGGGAGATAGAGAGTCCCAAGCAGGCTCCACACTGTCCGCACAGAGCCTGACGCAGGGCTCAATCCCATGAACCGCAAGATCATGACCTGAGCTAAAACCAAGACCTGGACACGTAACTAACTGAGCCACCAGGTACCCCTGCCTTAAGCTCATTTAAACTCACAGCTATACTATGAGGGTACACGTGGTTATTATCCACATCCCGATGACTGTGGACTGAGGCTCAGAGAGGTTAGGTAAGTTGCCTAAGGTGATACCAGCAGTACTCATTTTCTAGCATAACCCTAACGAAGTACAGGTGGTTTAAACAACAGAAATGTAATTTCTTACAGTTCAAAAAGCGCAAAATCAAGGTATCGGCAGAGTTGGTTGGATCCTTCCGAGGTCTGTGAGGTTAGTTAGGAACTGTTCCAGACCTCTCTCCTTGGCGGGTGGATGGACATTTCTACCAATGTTTCTTCACATTGTCTTCTCTCTGTGCATGTCTCTATGTCCACTTTCCTCTTTTTAGAAGAACACGGTCATGTTGGAGTAGAGCCCACCCTGGTGACCTCATTTTGACTGGTTTACCTCTGTAAAGACCCTGTCTCCAAACCAGGTCACATGCTGAGGTCTAGGGGATAAGGTCTAAATGGAGGAATGGTGTGGTAGGCAGGGGTTAGCATAATTCAACCACTGCCACCAGCTAACAGTAATAGAGCTGGGGTTTCAGTCCCGCAGTGTGACCCTGGGCTCCAGGCTGTCAGTCTCCGCATTACGCTACCTTAACTGTGTCACAAGTTGAATCACATGAAATTACAATTTTGTGGGTCAGACACAGTTGAATATTGGCAGTATAATTCCACCTGACCTATTTCCAAATTCTATCATCCAGATCCAACTAGTCAGTTCTATCGTCCTCTGGTGTGCCTGGCACTGAGGAATGAAGAATATCCCAGAAATAAGTAAATGTTCTATAACCTGGAGAGTTTACACTCTCTTAAGAATTTATACTTGTAATTCCATCTCTTAAGAAAGACAAGGCATAGGGGCACCTGGGTGGCTCAGTCGGTTAAGTGTCCAACTTTGGCTCAGGTCATGATCTCACAGTTTGTGAATTCGAGCCCCGTGTCAGGCTCTGTGCTGACAACTCAGAGCCTGGAGCCTGCTTCAGATTCTGTGTCTCCTCTGCTCTCTGCCCCTCCCTCACTTGTGCTCTATCTCTGTCTGTCTCTCAAAAATAAATAAATGTAAGAAAAAGAAAGAAAGACAGACAAGGCATAAACATGCACACAAAACCCTTTGAACACATTATCAGTCATGGTACCAGGAAGTATCTGGCATTTTCTTCTGGAATCTCTAGTCTAATGAAAATGGCATTTTTGGACTTCGTGACCAGACAGACATAGAAGCTTCTAGGTTTTTACAAATGTATTTATTAGGGCTCTCTGGTTATGAGTTAGAAATACTACCTCTATCCTGCTGACTTAGTCCAAGAAGGAGAACGTTCTCACCCAAACTTTGTGAATAATGTAGTCACTTTCAAAACTGAAGGTAATGAGGGGCGCCTGGGTGGCTCAGTTGGTTAAGCGTCCGACTTCGGTTCAGGTCATGATCTCACCGTTTGTGAGTTTGAGCCCCACGTCGGGCTCTGTGCTGATGGCTCAGAGCCTGGAGCCTGCTTCAGATTCTGTGTGTGTGTCTCTCTCTGACCCTCCCCTGCTCATACTGTCGCTCTCTCAGTAATAAGTAAAACATTAAAAAAACAAAACAAAAACTAAAGGTAATGATTTCAGAATTGGAAGGTACATCATGAACAATGGTCAAGTCTAATTGCCCTTTTATGTAACTTACAAAGTTTATTAAGTAAGCTTAATCTTGAAAAATGAGTGTATAGAGTAGCTTCAAGTGTCTATGGTGGCCTCTGTATATGTCCTATTGGTTTTTGATTTCCAAGATAGCTATTTCAACCCAGTTTTCTTTGTTTTTTGTATTGAGAAAGGCTTTTCTATAAATGTCTATTATATCATGTAAAACATTTTTCATTTTCCCTCCTTTAAAAATACTCGGCTTTTTCACGGCTCTGTTCAGGAAAGGCCTTGTGACAACGGTAGCGATCTCACTGCACCGCCTCTGTAACAATCTCACTAACTTCTGTCTCTCTACCTGAACACCTTTGAGTCCCACTGGCTTGCCCTGTGATGATATGTTGAAGCTTGGCAAAAGTACTAGGATTTTGTCTTAGATTGGGCTTATGTAAAAACTCCCATAGACCGGGTGGCTTAAGCAACAGACATTTATTTCTCATGGTCCCAGAGGCTAGGAGCTCTGAGAGCAAGGCACCTGCAGATTTGGTGTCTGGTGAGGCCCCTCTTCCTGGCTGGAAGCCAGTCATACCCTCCCATGGCAGAGGGAGGGGGGCCTCTGGTCTCTTCCTCTTCTTACAAGGGCGCATCTTGAGGGCCCCACCCTCACACCAGAGATTAGGATTTGCACATATGAATGTTTGCGGGGGGGATACAAATGTTCGGTCCACAGCAGATTCTGAAAAATCGGGAACCAACGACAAGTTCCCTCTACATTCTCATGAGTGTGTTCCTTTGGTTTTTAGGTGTTCCCACCCCAAGCCAAGAGATTCTCCGGCACACGCTGAACACGCTGGTGCGGGAGAGGAAGATCTACCCAACTCCGGATGGCTATTTCATCGTGACCCCGCAGACTTACTTCATTACTCCTTCTCTCATAAGAACTAACAGTAAATGGTACCATCTGGACGAGAGGATACCTGACAGGTCTCAGTGTACCTCCCCGCAACCCGGAACCATCACGCCCTCTGCCTCAGGCTGCGTCAGGGAAAGAACGTTGCCCAGAAACCACTGCGACTCTTGCCACTGCTGCAGAGAAGATGTGCATAGCATGCACGCCTCGACTCTGCAGAGGAGACCTGCCAAGGACTGCAAAGACCCCTACTGCCCCCCTTCACTCTGCCAGGCCCCCCCCACTGAAAAGAGCAAAAGTACTGTCAACTTTTCCTACAAGACAGAAACTCTCTCAAAACCTAAAGACGGGGAAAAGCAGTCCAAAAAATTTGGGCTGAAGTTATTCCGGCTAAGTTTTAAAAAAGATAAGACCAAACAGCTAGCCAATTTTTCTGCCCAGTTTCCTCCCGAGGAGTGGCCCCTGCGAGATGAAGACATGCCAACGACTATCCCGAGGGAGGTGGAGATGGAAATCATTAGGCGTATTAACCCGGACCTGACCGTGGAAAATGTCATGAGGCACACTGCACTGATGAAGAAACTTGAAGAAGAGAAAGCGCATCGGAGTAAAGCGGGGTCCTCGGCCCATCACAGCGGAAGAAGTAAAAAGAGTAGGACTCATCGAAAGTCCCACGGGAAGTCTCGGTCCCACAGCAAGACCCGGGTGTCTAAAGGAGACCCTTCAGACGGTTCTCATCTGGATATCCCAGGTGACAGAGAGTATGACTTCTGTGATCCTCTTACCAGGGCACCCAGGGAGGGCTGCTTCATCATTGAACACAAAGGAGATAACTTCATCATGCATAGTAACACGAACGTGATTGAGTCTCACTTCCCCATGACACCAGAATGGGATGTGTCTGGGGAACTGGCCAAAAGGAGAACTGAGATGCCTTTTCCTGAACCTTCCAGGGGAAGCTCCCATTCAAAAGTGCACCGAAGCCACAGCCATACCCAGGACCGGAGGTCCAGGAATGAGAGATCCAACAAAGCCAAGGAGAGATCCAGATCGATGGACAACTCAAAGGGCCCGCTGGGTGCTTCTTCCCTAGGGACCCCCGAAGACCTGGCCGAAGGCTGTAGCCAAGACGACCAAACCCCCAGCCAATCCTACATTGACGACAGTACGTTACGGCCTGCACAAGCGATTGGTCTTCCAAGGGCTCATGTTTCGTCCAGCAGCTATAAAGAGGTGTGCATTCCAGAAATAGTCGGTGGCGGCAAGGAGCTCTCCAGCGCTTGTAGCCTCTTGGAGCCGGGCAAAGCGCCTGAAAGCCTGCCGTCCCACGGGGAACTCAACTCTTGTCCAGCAAAATCAGCCACAGACGACTATTTCCAGTGCAACACCTCCAGTGAGACGGTCCTCACGGCACCATCGCCCCTGGGAAAGAATAAAGAGGATCATGACACTCTGACTCTGGCGGAAGGGGTGAAAAAGCTGCCTCTGTCCGATAGGCAGGCCCCACATTCTTCCAGGGAGCCCGTGGGGCACAAGGAGGAGTCCCCCAAAGGGCCAGGTGGGGGCCCGGCTCTTCCGGGCGCGGTGGCAGAAGGGATGGCCAACGGACGGCTCGTCCAGCACCACAGCGCGGAGCCCGGCAGCCTGGACAAGAGGAAAGAGATATTCAGCAAAGACACGCTGTTCAAACCGCTTCACAGCACCCTGTCTGTAAACAGCTATCACAAGTCGAGCCTGTCCCTCCTCAAGTCTCTCCCGAAGACCCCTGCCGACACACTGCCAGGCCGATGCGAGAAGCTGGAGCCGCCGCTGGGGACCTCGGTGGCCGCGGCCATGCCTGGTTCCCAGCGTCAGCAGGAGTCCGGGGGGAACCAGGAAGCCTCCTTTGACTATTACAACGTCTCTGACGACGACGACTCTGAGGAAGGGGCCAATAAAAACACGGAGGAGGAGAAAAACAGGGATGACGTGGGCACCATGCAGTGGCTCCTTGAGAGGGAGAAGGAAAGAGACTTACAGAGGAAATTCGAGAAGAACCTCACCCTCCTTGCCCCAAAAGAAAGCGACAGCAGCAGCACTCAGAGGGCCACCCACTCGGCGCGCCTCGACAGCATGGACAGCAGCAGCATCACCGTGGACAGTGGATTCAACTCCCCACGGTAGGGAGAGGCGCCTCTTCACACACACACACGCACGCACGCACGCACGCACGCACGCATCCCGGGCCTGGGGCTTGATGCAAATAACTTGAAGAGGTTCTGATTTCCCAGTTTTCGTTCTGTGAATGCGGGGAAAGGGGTGTGTGAGCTGTATCGGTAACACCCTGTTTCTGACTTCTCTTTCAGGAATTGAAACACAGGTTTCTGCAGCTGTAGAGATCACCAATCTGGACTGGTGGGTTGGCTCCCTCCCTCTGACTTGCATCAGGCCAGTCTAATAGGACCAACATTTTCCAGTATTTTTCTTCTGTGTGTATATTGCCCCCCAGTGCTGGTAAAAGAAGGGTGTTATTTTTGGTTTTTTAGGTCCTCAAAAATAGTACCTTTTTGAGTAGAATGAGTGGTTAGTAGTCAGTTGGGGGGCGGGTGTCAATTAGTTGACTCAAGGATGGGGGTCCCTCTAGTGGGAATGACAGATTCCAACACCTTTCCCGGGGCTCCGATGCCTGTTGCCACGGCAGCCCTGACTATGCACCCCCTTCCCCCCTTTGCTCATACACTTCAGACTCACAGAGAAATGGAACCTTGTATCTCTCGCAGAAAGATTAGGGGCCTTGCTCCATTAGATCAAAACGTGTGCCCACGCTTTTCTGTCTCCTCCCGCAGAACTGATACAACCCATTTAGGCGCTCTAATTACAGCTGGCACTTCAGCAGAGGGTTAACAGCAGAGAGCGTGTAATGCCTGGCTGGCATGTCCAGCACACTAACGTGGTTCAGGGCTTAAGAAAGCAAAACAGAGTCTATGCAACTTCCTTTTTTTCTCCTTAACTCTTCCTTCTCCTCAAAGGGCAACTGGGGACCTAATCCTTCTTCTAAATTCTACTCCAGATTGGTGACTCTGAGATGCAGAAATACTACTGACAGGTTGACATTTCTCATGAGTTGCGATTTCCCAAGATTCTACGATACATTTTATCATTTTAACAAGTACCCAGATATGATTACATGCTTCATGTATTATTTTAATTATTACAAATTCAATGTAGTTCTGTTGTGATTTCACCTTAGTCTGGATAATTTGGGGATGGAGCATTCCCAAATCAGAATTGGGAATCGTTAATCTGTCTGTCCCATATTAGGCCTTTATTATTTCTTAAAGGGCTGGTTCTTGATTATGATGATGATGATTTTTGCCATGTAACCTTTTTCTCCCAAGTTAACAATTGTGTAGAAGTCTAATGTCTAAACAAACCACAGAGATGGTGCTCTGGCCAAAGAGAGTGTGAGGCCAGGAGCCCCACATCTCTACCTGTCCGTGAAAGAGCCCTAACTGACCTCAGGGTCCATGGCACTCTGAAAACTACTGGTCTACCTATTAATAGCTTTTCTAAAATATAGCTTTTGCTGAGTATTTTTTAAGTCCCAAATCAAATCAAATCAAATCAAATGTGTAAATACTTTTCTTTCTATTTCTGTCTTCTGCTCTTTTTTCCTCTTGAATTTCTAATCGTGGGCACAAGAGAGGCACTTTGAAGATCTGTAACTGATGGATAGATATTCAGAATCGTCACTTACGGAAGGTGTGGTTAATTTTGCCTGTACCTTATGTTCGACTGTTTCTTACCATATAGACTCTACCTGACCAGTGCTTGGCATACCACAGCTTTCAACCCAGCACAGTGCCCGCTTGGCCCCTGTACCTCCACAGAGGGAAGGCTGGTGCTCCAGAGATCATTGCTAAGAAGACGTTAAGAGTCGCTCAGTGGGTTTTAACTCAAAAGCCCACCAGCACATAATACTGAAAGGTTTTTGGTTTGGGAGCAGATAAACACATACTTTCATGAAATCGTTGAACCAGCCTCGCCACAGAATCTATTGTTTTATCTCTAAATTTGAGATGCAGGATATAGAATTTACTAATGGGACTCTTTCTTGAAATAAGTTTTCATTTCTTTCATAATGTACGTAAGGTTACACACATTGTTCTGGTAGGAAGTAAGATCTCTCTGAGGAGACAACTGTCTCACATTTAGGTACATGTCCATCCGCTCCTATTAGGGAGATTTTCTCTACAGGAATATGCTGACCGCCTGTAAACCTCACGCAGTTAGACAATCTACAGAACAATTCCAAATTTTGCCCCTTTCATATTTAATCCGTTGGCTAGAAGTTAGGTCAACACTTATTTACCATTTCTGTTTTTCAGCTGTATTTTCTGTACACCTCACTTGATTCGGTTGTTTTCTGATGCGTGAGGAGGGTCTGTGAAGGAGAATGGGTGAGTTACAGGGAGGTTTACTCTCCAGCACGAGGAGTGTTTTAGCCATAGAGCATTATGAGGCTGCTACCTCTCTACTGCCATGAGATACAGAAGTCTTAAGTGGGCCATCTATTCGAATCTTCCAGTACTTAAGTACTGGGCAACTAAGATCCAACAACAATAACAATCAAAAAAAGATGGACCAACCTAGATGATGTCCACACTCCCAGCTTTCAGTCCTGGGAGGTCTAACATTGAACATGAAACATCTTGACCTAAAAAGCCTGCTATTCCAAACCTGAGGCCAAAAACTGGTTGATAAACACAAGGTGAAAATCAGGTAGCAAAGCCAGGGAAGGAGGTGTCCGCCTAATGCACCGTGGGAGTGCGTGCCTGGTGGCACGCAGGGCTGGGGGAGGGGGCTCTCTCAGCCAGGGCGCCGAGCCACACAGCGTCTTGGTTTGCCTCTTCTGCTTACAAAATCCTGAAATCTTATTTTTAAGGTTGCCCTCCACTATGGCTTTCTTTTTTTCAAGAAAGTAAGAGCTTTTAGTCTGAGGAGTATTTTTACCATCAGCTTTTTCAGGATGACACCCAGAACCCTCATGAATACTGCGTGCCCTGCACTTATGATTGTGGCAATAATGAGATCGATCCCTCTGGAGAAACTGGAGTGCTGTAGATATTTATCACTCTTAATGACTCTGGCCAGAGGCGGTCAGAGGCATCTCAGAGCCCAGACTACTCCCAACTTAGATGGTCTCTGATAGTGAGATGTGTTTACGGTGACTGGCATGCCTTAAAAGCCGGTTGAAAAGGGTTAAGCCGGTTTAAGGTCCTTTGGACCTTACAGTGCATTTTGCCCTAGAAAAGATGTCATTTAGTCATGTATGGATTCTGAAACCAACTCATCGTAGCTACTTAATTTGTTAGAGGCCAGGTGTACAACCGAAATAATAATATGTACCTAGCTTTTTAATGTACAGCTTCTTGGATGCGTATTTCTTCTTCACAGTCACCCTATGAGTAGGTGAATCCCATGACTCTCCCCATTTTAGAGGTGAGGAAATCAGGTACCATAAAAAGTTGTTATCACGATTAAGAATGAAACTGAAGAACATGTCAGGAAATCTTTGGGGTTCTCCATGTTGATTGTCCTTCTTCCTTCCTCCACCTGACCACGTGCTTCAACTATGGTACTAGAAAGCCACTGATGGGTTTTCTTAGGGAAAGTGTAAGGCAGATAAATAGGTGAATCTAGCACTTTCCATCCCTTTAGTGCTGATGTTTTGGCATAGTCTTTAGGTATGCTCAGAACCACTGAGAGCACAACAAAAGAACTTGATTTACTTCTTGTGAACATATTAACCTCCTGGACACGCACTTTGCAGTCAAGAAAGGTCCAGTTGTTGTTTTTGGTAGTCGATGAACAAACTTCCTTTTAAACAGTTCCCTGTTTACCTGGCTCCTGGATGAGAAGCAAACTCAAGGTCACAAGGGGTTAGGATGAAATAATCCATTCTCTAGGAAGTGCTGCCAAACAACGTACAGGCATGTCGCGCCTTCCCAAAGTTTGCGTTCACAGCCCTTTGCTTGGACGAAAGACCCTATGTTAGTAATGACTTTTCCTCGGAAAGCAAGAGTCTTCTTTGGATTTCTTTCGGTTCATAGAAACAGGTACTAATGTAGGTCTTCTGTAAAAGCAAAGAGGCATCAGTGCAAACAGTTGGAAAGCGACTGTATACTTTCAGAGCGATTTCGGCCTATGAAAGGTTTCATGGGAACATCCTACTGTAGATAGTGGGAAAAACCTGCATGGGGTTCAGACAGAAGTGCTGTTAATTCCGTACGGGAGTAGAAGAGAGGTGGTGAGGTCGTCCACTGCAGTAGTTGGACCCGTTGACTGATTTCGGCAGGCTGACATCAGGGATGGGGGCCAATTCTCATAGAATATTTTCTAAACTTTGAATCTGCCCAGTAGGATGGATGGATATTTTGAGTGTCCTTGTGGTTTCTTCAATCTCTTTATAAACTAAGCTTCTTACTACAGTTTTGAGGACCTTGAACACGGAACCTGTTCAGTTCCTATCAATCGGGCCAAGGAATCTTATTTCTAATGCTATTGCCCTACACACTTAAAATGTTAATGTTCCAAATCTCTTGGAACAATAAAATTCAAGAGTTTCTAACTTAGAAAAACTGAAAGAGAAATAGAAATACTAAAGCCTTTAAATCACTCTACTCTGAAAAAATAAAATATTTCTACTAAAGGGGAAGAGGGGATGTAAACTTCACAAATGAATGAGGAAACTCTGAGAGTCCTTTTCTGAAAATATAATGTATTTCCATGAAAGTGTTAAGATTGGAAACAGAGGTCCCAAGTGCTTTAAGAGGAATTGTATTCCCATCAGTGTGGCCGATTAGCTAATGGCATGCTTGAAGTCTAACCACAGTCAAGATCTGCTAATCAGGAATGAAAACAGAATCACTAGGGACAAAATTGAGTTTATTCAGGAGCAGGTTTTTCAATGAATTTCCAGCCTGAGATGAAGTCGTTACATATATGTATTTGGGAGGATTCTCTTCTCTGATGAATGTGATAGCCATCTAGCACATCAAATTTGGAAGCAGTTTCCTTGAATGGGAAGGGAAGGGCAAAACATTTTCAATGCATTTAGTAGGATGAAAAGCCGTCATTCGGGGTGCCATTTACTGTAACATGTGTGTGAAAGCTTCTGGAGCCCACGCTGGAGGAGCATATGTGACTAATCAGTGTGAGATGGGGCATGTATGACATCATGAACCGACAGAGGAAATCCATTAACTACATCATTTGCTCTTCCTCTGGGGCTCCAGAGATAATTATTTGTGTTTAAAACAAAACAAAACAAACCCTTTTTACTCTTTTAGCACTCGGGAGAGCCTGGCTTCCAACACGTCAAGCATTGTTGAAAGTAACCGTCGTCAGAACGTTACCTTGAGCCCGGTGCACGGTGGGGCCGGACCGGCTTTCAGCTTCCGAGCAAGTACGGACCCCGCGACAAACGAAGCTGAGAAATTACAGAAACCTTCCAACTGCTTGCAGGCTTCTGTTACTAGTGTGTGACGGTCGCTCTGCTTCAGATATCCCGGCTCCTTCCGACACAGCCAAGTTTACGACACTGGGACTGATGTTTACATCTTGGGAAAGACGAGCATCTCGACCACAGTTTTTGTGTTTACTTAAACTGTGCTGCTAAGTAGGCTAGGGAAAAAAAAAAAAAAAGAACAAAAATCTTTATTTCTGAGTATTGCTTTTCACATGTATGGCTCTGTAGCAACCGAATAGCAGTAGTAGGGGTGATATGTATACTTTTGCTTCACTACTTGTAACTGAGCACACAAAAGGAAAGTCTAGACACTGTAAGTGTGATATGCATTCCAATGTCATGAAGTTGCCAATTCCATTTTTAAATGCCACAGATGCGTGTTGCTCCCAGTCTGTGGTCAGAGGGTGCCACGGAACTGATCCTTGACACTTCCAAAAAAAAAAGAAAGGAAAAAAAAAGCATAAGCCACCACAAAATGTCCACAAATGCGAGGGTCCGCCTGGAGGGAGATCCATGTCAGACTGACCAGAAGGGACCCCAGCCCCTTTGTGTGTAAATTGGTCATGCACCAGTCATTTCTCACTGTGAGTTTTCGTGACACGATTTTGCAGGAGCCCGTGAAGTGTGTCAGAAGGGGTTGTGGTCGAAATTCTGGGAGTGTCTGTTTTCAGGATTTTGTTTTTACGTGTAACAGATGCTTGTCTGATTTTTTAACCTTCCATAATCACAAACAGGAATATAGGCCTTTGATTCTGAAGTGGACGAAGGAAGGGGACCCCCCAGCCTGGCTGGTGCACGGCACTGGGTGATCGAAGAGGGAAATGTGGACTCTTAACCGGTGTTAATCAAATATTTAAGGAAGATCATTTCCTCCTTGTGATACTTATGATGATCCTATCTTACTATAATAGATAATGATAATTAGTTTGTTTAAAAGCAAAATGTTCTTTGTGATACAAATGAAGAGTATGGCCTGGGGATGTTATTCTTTCTAATGGAAGGACATTAATCTATTTTATGTAGTTTTAAATAGAATGCCTAAATTAGGCTACGGGAGATCATTTTTAGTGGTTATAGGAAAGAGCAGATTTAGGGAGAGTTGAACTTCAGGCCTTTTATTCCTGGAAAGATATCTATAGAGAAAACTTTAAAAAATAATTTTTGATGAGAACTATACATGTGCCCACATACTTACCAACAGAATGTGCTCATTCTGCAAGTACGGTATAATCCGAACTTGTACTCCCCTGAAATTTATCAGAATGACAATTATGCATACATGAACTATGCCAGAGTGATGTTTACAGATACTTTGTAACCAATTATAGGAGGCCGTTTTAGGTGGATGTATAGTTATCAGCCCAACTTATTTCAAAATGGTTTGTCAGCATTTGGCTTTGGTTTACAACGTCACCTTGAATACGAAAAAGACTCTAAGCATTAAAGGGATTACAAATGATCGGGCTCCACTTTACAGAAAAGAGACACTTCAAAGTTCCCCCCATTTTATTCTTTGAGAACCATGGGCTAAATGTGTAGATGACGAAAAGATATTTGCAGAAGGGTTACATAGGACACAACGTCTGGCAGAAAGTTTTATTTAGTTTGGTGGCATGTGATGTTTGGAGCCGTATACCATAAAATAATATATCCAAAAATAAATCTAAAGTCATTCCACCTCAGACTTCAGTAAGCGGCATAAAAATGTGTGAAACATTTCTGCTTCAGCATTAGGTTCAATCAGTAGGGATCTGTTTAAAGAACACGGTCCTAGATATAGTTGGACTGATTCTTGAAACATATGGATATTCCCTCATGCATTTTCAGATATTTGCAAGTTGCATTGGGTCAAACTTGACTCATCAAGCTTAAGATACCTTTTTTTATGCTCATAATGAAACGTAAGCACGTTTCTTGGTAAGCCCCTATACCACTAAAATGCTTAAGTCAGTTGGCTTTGAATCTCATGCCTTATTTCTTCCAAGGCATGCCCTGATTGCCCAGAAATGAACTGTCTCATTGCTTAAATATGTCCAGAAGGAATGATAATGTATCTAATAGACTATACACAGAGTCCGTTTCCTTGGGGAGTTGTATAACCATACGGTTACCAAATTCTTCTAAATTCGTTTTTCTCCCCCCCCCCGCCCCCCAAGAACTGCTCGCAAGTGTTGAATCATACTATCAGCTCATAAATAACGTAACCATTGAAACAATACATCAGCCTCTAGTTGATCCTCTGAAAGTGGCCATTATTATAATCAAATGCTGTGTGGACAGGAAAGAAAAGCATTACCCTTAAAGAGAAGCTTTAAAATATGACTTTATCAATAGTTCATAAGAAATAGGTTTACAAAAGACGGTATTCAAATAAAATGTGTATACTATTAGCCTGATGCTATTGGGGTAACGTGATTTTAAAAACAACCAGAAACTCCCTTAGACCTGGAGCCATTAGCGTAGAAAAGATGGGCTTTAAAGACGATACGATGTTAAGCAGACGTTCCGTGTGGAACTAGCCCCGTCTGAATCTAATCAGGATTCTCAGATGGGGGAGGAGTGAGGCGACAGGAAGCGTGTTACAGATGTGACCCGAGATGGTCCACGGCGAGCTTCTTGGTGACCATGTGCTCGGCCCGCACCAAGGTTACCAGCACCCGTTTCCTCCCCCGCGCTGATAGCTTTGTGTTCCGTGGCTGCTTATCTAGTCTTCGCTTAGAGTTTCTCAGCTGAAAGGTTTACAAAGCTGAATCTGGTTGAATCTCTGTGTAGCGTTCAACTTTAAAGGGTCAACCCATCTGTCGGCATTTTGCACACGTATGTATTATTATGATACAGCATATTACTTTATGGTAATTTTTATTTTTACATAGAACTACCTCCATAAATTTGATGAAGCGGCAGCAGTGTGTTCAAGTGTATTGTTCAGAAAAGCAAAGTTGAAAACTTTCGTGAACATTCGGCCATGGCGTTCTGTGTGTGTGTCAGTGACTGCCCATGCGGGCTCGTGACTTTTTCATGGCCGTGGTTTTGTTTTACGGCATTATTTCGCTTTCAGATGTAAACCTGTCTCTCCTCTCTTTCCCACAAAAGCACACTCAATTTTGTTACGAACGAAAGGAAGTTTAAATTTCTTGTCTTTTCACCCTACCCCCACCCCCCACAAACCCCCCCGTTCTGCTAAGAGTTCTCTCTGGCCAAGAGCCGATCGGTAAACATAATTTAGCAAGCTCTTTACTCCTGTAAGAATCTGATTTGAATTCTAGGTTTTCAGTAACAGAAGTCACACCAGAAATGTGGACCGTGCCAGCTTTGAAGTACTTTGGGCCTCGCTGCCTTCACGCACACGCTACCATACCAAGCCCAAACTTCATTTTAATTAAAAGAGCAGTGCTGTGTACTCGCCACGTGTGTTAAATAATTTGTGTTCCATTTTCTCTATTTTGCACATCTCAGGGGACCTTAATGAGGATATGAAAAGGGGGTGCCACCAAATAGAGAAAACAAACACAAGAGCCGAATGGGGACCAAGCAGGATAAAAATACCAAATTACCGCTTCTCTGATGTGGCGAAGTACAAGTTCAGGAAGCATAAATTGAAAGTTAATCTGAAGTAACGATGATCTGAACACCAGCTGTTCCCAAGTCTCCCTTTCTTAGAGCCCAGCCAGCGGTTCGAAGATGTAAATTTAAATTATATCGCAATCGCCATGGGGAAGGAAAAAACCTGTTTGATGAAAAGGAAAGCACTGTGTGCTTTTTGAGGTTGGCACAGCTCTGTAAAACCCTACCCAGGACAAACCACTTATTGCCACCAAGTGTACTTGAAGATAAAGTTTTTAACTTAAATTATAGGCGTATTGCTCACAATCCAATAGTGAACCTATTTTGAAAAGTCCCACCATTTATAACGTGGGCGGTATTCGGAGCTTGATTAAAAGCCAACAACAAACTATCGTGACTTTGCCCATTCATTTTGGGATCTCAAAGTGCTTCCAAAGCATTCAGATTGACAAACAATTAACAAAGCAGGTCCTATTTGTAATACCCATACTTGAAATGGACAAACAGAAGGAGTGACTTAAGATGACCCAGAAACTCAGTGGCAGCTACTGGTGATCTATTTTCTATCTGTTTGATAGACCGTCCTGAGAAATCACTAAACACAATGCTATTTTTTCTGATGTGTGCTAATAAAGTTGAAGAAAACAAATACAACTGTACACTTTTGTCCATTTTCATTCAAAAAGTTCAGGGCGTTTGGAATCCTACAAAACCCACCCAGTGCGGTCAGAGGCAGATCCCAGACATACACCCTTGTTTACAGTTTCATACTGGGCTTCTGTAAGTCCCGTGCTAAACACCATCTTTCAGGAACACGCGCTCCTGGCAATGGAAGGTGCTAAAATGGGAATCGTGATTTAAACCTTTATCTAAGTACTCTTCCCAGTGCTGCTTTGGGCACGATAGAAATTTAGTACAATATATTGAGTCCTACTGGAAGAATCTGGATTTCCCAGGGAGCTTATCTAGTTCTAAGTGTTTTCTCAAACTGGGAGATATCAGATCCTTGCTGGGGAACCTTCCCCATTGCCACGGGCCAGTCCCAGAACCAGCCAGCAGCACGCTGTCAGGCGATAGCGGACCCCAAGCAGAAGTGATCCTGTCCTTTCCTGTCCTCCCCCCCCCCCCCCCGGTACTGCCTTGCCCGTTCTCTTCTGTTCGCGAGCCATGCTTCTGCAAGTGTTTGGGGCTCAGGGAAGCCAGGACACGGGAAGAACGAATGCAAAAGCATGGAAACCATTGTTTTGCTTTGGGTTACTAAAATATGGGCAGGAAGGAGGTTACGATCAGTCTGATCTTTGCCAAGTAAGATAAAAGAATCAGCTGTCACTCCGTCATTCTCCCAGAAGGTTCTACAGTTTTAAGGATACATCCGGTATTTTCCGATAGATTTTTATTTAGGAGACATTTCATAAATTTATATATACGAAAAAATTCATGATTAAATCTCCTGGCATGTTGAAATAGGCCTTGGTATCTCCCTGATTGAGTTACTCTCTGCGTCGTCTTCAGCAGCATCCCATAGAGATTCCCCCGTGATTGCGCCTCCAACACATAATCCTGTGTTTGTACAGTTGTTCTATGACTTACAGTTGCTGATTTGCAAGGTTGAAAATTCTACAAGGCTCATGGGGGACTAAACCTTCTTATGATTGTATATTATCAGTTACAGGGCTTTAATTGCTCATTGTTGGCTTCAAATGTGAACGCACACACACATACGCACGCGCACGCGCACACCCTGCCAGCGAGGGAAGGGGGAGTTTCACAAGTGAGGCAGCAGTGACTCTGGAAGCAAATGTAAGGCTAGAGGCTTGGCTGGTCGGCGTACAGCGCCTATGCCTCCCTGTCCAGGGGCTGACCTTGACACCCCCGTTCCTTGCTCCCACCAAAAAGAGGTACCAAATCTGAGATCCGAGAACCCCTCCAGTGTCCGTCCTCTGCAGTCATGGAAAATTCTCAGCAGCTCCTTGCCTGCCTTTCCTCGGAGGTCCTCCCTCCCTGCCTCTTCCCATTCCCCCGCCTGGATACCGACACACCACCACGGTTTCCACACTGGAAGGGCAAAATAGTGTGCGATATTGTGCACACGTGATGGCTTAGGACTAGGGCTGCCCTGAGGTCACCTTCATGTAAGTACTGACAGCTACAAATTAAGGTCCGTAGAGTAGTTGACATAGATACTACTTTCTAGAAGAGAATTAAGTTTCAACGTTAAGTTTAAAGGGATCATAATTCTGCAGGTATCTTTCTCTGAGTGACTGAATGTGACTATTGCATTAGGGTAAATGAATTAAGAAGTGCAAGTGGGATTTACTGTATGTTAGAAAGGAGTTTTGCAGCCAAGACTGCCTTGAATAAAATGTGTTTGCACTGAAAAAAAAAAAAAACTTTAAATTACTTGGTCTCTGGTTGCTGTAAAGGTCATCCAAGATGGATGTTCTGTTTATATTGTATAGTATTTCATATGAAATAATTACAGTTCATGAAATGTCTTCCCTAATGTTACTGATTTATGACAGCACATTTGTAACATGGTTTTTATTGTGCCGGTGTGCCATATTGTAAATGATGATGACTGTCATGCTTAGTATAATAACTTAAAAGGAAAAAAAAGCACAGGGATTTTTTGTAAGTCTATATTTGAAAGTCCCTCCATATGGTAATATTGTGTTCATGTTGTTTATGTAGTGTTGTGTGAAATATCCATTTTGGATTGTGTTACTTTTTAAGATATTAAATAACATTTGGTTATATGTCTAAGTGGATTTTTTTTTTGGTGCTGGAGCGAAAATACTTGAGGTGAGACCAATTTCTTGCTCTCCTCAGTTAATAGGAGTTTGTAACAAAACTTGTCTTGCAGTCTTTGTGATCAGAGCTTTTGAATGACAGCAACGGAAGAGGGAAATATCTCATCAGAATCTTTTCCCAGGAGTGTCGAAAAAGACACATTTGGGGGCAGCTATTCAAATCTGAGAGTCAGGCTGAGAGACACAAAGAATGGCGTCTTCTGTGAGATTAGAAAGCAGTGTGGTTGGTTTGTGTCATTGGCCCTCAAACCACAGTTTCTGTCCCCAAATAAACGCGATCCCCTGGCCCGTGAGCACCCGGCGTCTAGTCACATATTCCCGGGGCGCTTACAGGAGCCCGGAACTCCTCCGTGCCTCACCGCCTTCTTCAGGCTCTGTTAGATACCTTTTGGCAGTCCACATGGTAAACCTTTGACCTTGGAGAACAGATTCCCGTTTTTCAAGCCCAAAGTAATCTTCCATCAAGCAGACGATGCAGTTAGGCAGCAGCACTGGTAGTCAGAAACAACTGGAAGCTGTAAGTGGAGTCTGATTTTCTTGTAAAGGCAATTTCCCGAAGCAGACCTCCAGTGACAGAGTCCTTTGGGTAAGTGTGGGGAACCCAAGGTGACTGCTCTGAAGGACAAGTCCTATTTTAGTTTGTCCGTGTATAGTTTACACTGTCCCCGTTCAGACACCCCATTCTTCAAGCACAAAGTTAGGAAGAGCTAGGGCCCTGAAATAATAGAGGTGTTTGCGCGTTGCCTTCAGAGCGAGCCAGCAAGCCAGACACATGGAGGAAATGTGACTTCAGAATATGGAAGGCAGGATTCTGACTCCTTTGAGAGAATGGTCGCAGTTCATAAAAATCTTTTCTTTCCAAAGGAAACGGTATGGCTTTCACTTATTTTTAAGTGTTTAGAGTGGTGGGATTTTTTTTTTTTCCTCCATAAAGTAAAGCCAAGCAGGGTACTCAGTCGTGCCTCCTGCCCTTTTACAGCTGTGAAATCGAGAGCCACTGAATAATAAAAAGAAGGTATTCACCTGACTTTAATAATTTATTTAACTGTGAAATCGTACCCCTACTGTGGGGATACTTGGATTTCATGATATTCCCCCTGTTTGGGCCCAGTGGCTCCAGACTTTTCCTATAAAGCAAATAGTTAATCGTGTAACACATGGACTAAGTGTGTGTGATGAATAGTTAGAGGCCGCATTGCACCAGACAGCAGTTCCAAGAAAAATCAAGGCACCTGCACCCAAGATAGGCTGAGTGGGGTTTTCTGGTGAATCTTCTTAAAAGAATTGCATTCGAAGTGCAATGTCAACAGCAAGAGGCAGATGCAATGCTTTGAACAAGAGAGGTCAGCTCAGAGGCGCTAATGTGGAATCGCAAGGAGAAAACAGAACTGCTGATGTTCAATGAAGAGCAAATTCTCCCCTTCTCAGATCTGGGACTTTGCGGCTAGTATCGGTGGCTTCAGTGGAGTGAAGGCTGGACTTCAAACCAGCCTTGGCCTATCCAGGTGACCCTTAGATGGTTTGTTAGGCAGCCCCAAATTGCACCCAGCTCGCTCCTCCCAGGTCATGTCTCCCCTGTTTCTCTCGCCGTGTTGTGAGGTTCTTTGCAGTATTTTTCTTTCCTGTTTCCTTGGGTTCATTTTACTTTATTACTCTTTTCTCTACATTTATCCAAGAATTTTTGTTTGCTTCTTTGTAGTTATGCTTTCTTGTCTGATGTTTGGACTCCTTCCTGGTCTCAATTATTTATATAAAATCTATAATTCTATATTTTTAACTTTAAGTTATATATTAATCATACATACTCATATAATATCTATTATATATACTACAGATACAAGATGCATGCATTATAATGTATAATATATGATGTTATATACATAATCTGTATGTAGCTACGGTTGATAACTGGTATTTTTAATTTTGTATTTATATTGCCCTACCCTCCTTGGATCCACAAGCCACTGTCATCCGTCAGTCTCACCTCCACTCACCTTTGCACTGAAAGCTTTTTGTTCTCCAACACTTGGATAGAATCTACCACCAGCTGATTCATCAAAGATCTGATAAATCACTGGCAGCTTCCAGAGATGAGAGATAGATGATAGATATTGCATTAGACCAAAGATCTCTGTATTGTTATAGTCTACAAATGGCAATGAACAAAAAGATATCATGCCAGAGAATATAGGTTGACTTCTGTATGACTCCCTTTTAATGTTGTGTTGAGAATTGATGATCTTGGGAAATAATCTTTGAATATTTTTATAGCTATGCTTCAAGCCAGCATCTATCATTCTTTACTATACCCTATATTGTGGGGGGGGGGGGGGGCGGGGGGGAAAGAATCCCCCCCTGAAAGGCACTTCCTTTGAAGTTAGTAATAGGTCAGTGGCGCTTGGGTGGCTCAGTCGCTTAAGGGTCCGACTTTGGCTCAGGTCACGATCTTGCGGCTTGTGGGTTCAAGCCCCTCATCAGGCTTTCTGCTGACAGCTCAGAGGCTGGAGCCTGCTTCAGATGCTGTGTCTCCCTTTCTCTCTGCCCCTCCCCTGCTCACGCTCTCTCTCTCTCAAAAATAAATAAACAGAAAAAAATTTTAAGTTAATAACAGGTCAGTGGTTTCTAGTATTTAAAACCTCATTCTCAAATATCTTCCACCAAGGTAACATTTCCCCATTCGCCATCCCCCTAGACTGTGAAGGTGTCAGCGGTCTGTCTGTCCTAACCATGGGAGCTTCGTGATGTCTGCTAACTGTTGACAAGACACGCGGCAGGTTAACAACTATTAAACGGATTGGAGATGACACAGTTTTGTGGGGTTTTTCCTTTTTCCCTTCCTATGATTTCAT